GCAACAAAGAATCCTGGTGCATTTGTATATGGCTCACCATACCTGGTTAGATGAGGAGAGGTGGGAAGATGACAAGAAATCAGTTTACCTCTGGAAAGAAGAGGCAGTGGGTGTTGCACATAGTTAAGCTCCTGAGTACTAGCCAAAAGGCTGACAGTTTGAACTTACCCAGAGGTGCCTCAGAAGACAGGTCTAGCGATCTCCTTCCAAAAAGTCACAGCCTTGAAAACTCTATGGACAGTTCTCCTATGTACATGAGGTCACCATGAGTCAGAGTCAACTTGATGAAAAACAACAACAAATAGGAAAAATGACTGGTTCTGGAAAGGTGGAAGGGTTCCTAATGGGAAGTCTGTCTCAGGCTCTGGGGTCCCATGATCTGATTAGCTGCACTCTATGGAACAACATCAAAGTCATTTTTAATGGGAAGTCTGTAAATACATCATGTCTGCGTGAGAAAATGAGGGTTATTTTGGAGACGAACCATGAACCATGTAAAATGACAGTTACAGTCATTTAACACAGTTTTGATAACATTAACAGTGTTCTATCACTTTACATTTTGGGACTTGTCTCAGGTTGGTTTCTCCAGAAAGCAGATGCTGATATAAATTTATGAGTGTAAGAGATTTATTGGGGAATAACATCTGTGAAAGGAGGAAGGAGGAGGCAGGATTGGGCAGGATGAATTGCTGAAACATGGTAAAGAGCTGATAAAGTCACTGCCAGCTCAACAGGGATCACCAAAGATAAGATTGACCCTTAAAGGGATCTAATGTTGGGCAAAATGGGTAGGCTCTTGTACCATTGCCTTGCTCAGTCATTGGCAGGTGTTATCCTGAAAATAGCACAACCTCGGCATGAAAGCTGAGGCAGACCCAACAAAGCCAACAGCTGGGCACAATATGCTTTCTTAAAAGACTATCTGAGCAGTTATTCTCAATATTGCCTCAATACTGCAGTGAGGCACTACTAAAATTTTGAGCAGCTATGTATTTGGAGATAAAAACTGATTAGACCAGAACAAGATGAATTAATGCACTAAAATTCTCAAATTCCACCTAAGACAGCTTATAAAGGTGCAACACCAACAATTATTTGTTGTTGTTGTTGTTGTTATTTGCCATCGAGTCGGCCCCGACTCATAGTGACCCCTCCTTAGGTAACAAATATTATCATTAAGGATCTCTGGTGGCACAGTGCCTAAGGCATTTGACTGCTAACCAGAAGGTTGGCGATTCAAACCCACCAGCCACTCCAAGGAAGGAAGACTAGGCAATCTACTTCTGTAAAGATTTGTCACCTTGGAAACCCAAAGGGAGTTGCTATGGGTCGGAATCAACTCGGCAGTGGGTTTGGTTAAATGTTATCATTACCCAAAGATTGTTGTTTCTATTAGTTGTCATCAAGTTGGCTACAACTCATGGCAACCCCATATAGAAGAGAACAAAATGTTGCCTAGTCCTGTGCCATGTTCACTATTGTTAATGTGCTCAATTTCATTGGTGTGGCCACTATGTGTTTTGAATGTCTTACAACCTAGGGGGCTCATTTTCCAGCACCATGTCAGAAAACATTCTGTGATTCATAGGATATTCATTGGCTACTTTTCTTTTTTTTTAAATTTTATTTAACAATTATTTTTATTTAACTTTTTGTTGTGATTTGGGTGAAAGTTTACAAAGCTTTGTTTTACAAAGATATGTTTTACATTCAACAGTTCATACACATTTTGTTTTGTGCATTGGTTATATTCCCTGTAGTATAATAGCTCTCTTCCCACTTCCTTCCCATGGTTATCCTTTCCCTGTGTCTTTCTTTACTATACATACCCACCTCCTTACCTTTCTTCCTGTGCAAATGCTGCCTTTCTGATCTCCCATGATAGATTTTTCTAAGGAGGGCATCTCTCAGGTGTTCAATTTGTAGGCCTGTTCATCATTTGGCTGAGAGTTAAGTGACAGAAATGAGTTCAAGGTGACTAATTTTTTAAAGTAATATCAGCCAGGCCTTAGTCTGTCTTAGTCTGGAAGCTCTGCTAAAACCTGTGTACCATTGGTGACTTTGCTGGTATTTGAAATACTGGTAGCATTGCTTCTAGCATTCTAGCAACACACTAGCCACCACAGATGGGTGGTGGACCAAAAGATTAGGGATTAAAAATGTTATCAGATATTGTTTAAGGCCAGGAAAATTGCAAAAATATTGTTACTCCCATTTCTTCACAAATGGGTTACTTTTAGTGGGATAACCCAGGACCTCTGCTTATGATGGCCCATCATAGAAGATACTGGCTTAGTTGAAATACAGGCAAAAAGAGCTCAGAATGGTTCTTTAGGAGATGATGAAAAAGAATCATTTATTTCTTATGGGTCAAGAAGATGGGATTTAAGAAAGTCAGGTTGATTTATTGTGATGTATCACTGTCTTTTTAGATCTTAGGAGCTCTGGTGGTGTAGTGCCTAAGGCATTTGACTGCTAACCAGAAAGCTGGCATTTCAAACCTACCAGCCACTCCTCGGAAGGAAGATTGGACAATGTAATTCCATGGTGATACTGCCTCGGAAATCCAAGGAGGGGTCACTATGAGTTGGATACAACTTGACGGCAGTGAGTTTGGTTTTGGTTGGCACAAGTTTCATAGTAGTGATGGACAAAAAGGGGAAAGAAAGAAGAGTCTTTGGTTTGGTTTTATTATAGCATAGTACTTAATACAGTGGGGGCTCTGGCACCTGTCACCACTTACCAGTGATTTGGCTTTGAACACTTTCCGAATCTCTCTGTGGCTTACTTTTCTTATCCATTAAATGGAGATTACCATTGCGTCTACTTTGTGGAATTGCTGGAGAATGAAATGATATAAAGCAAGCATAGTTCTTGGGTTAGGAAGGGCTCAAAACATTGTTATTCTACTTCTCTTTCCTCTCTTTCTCTTCCTCCTCCTTCTTGAAAATATATGGTCCTGTTGAATTTTGCTGCTGGCTCTGCTAGATTATCAAAATGTTCACAAAACTTGGGAGAAGACTAAAATGAAAAGAATATGTTTCTCCAACATGATTTTAGATGTCTGCTTTTTGGTCAGGTCTTCAGTTTTCACCATTACGTTCGCAGTGCTGGGTGTGTTGGGTGTAAAAAGCAGTCTCTGCCCTCAGTAGCAGGCTGATTTGAGCAACAAATGAACATATAAATGATCAACAAAAATACACACACATATAAAATTAATTTCTAAATTGTTGTTGTTATGTGCCGTTGAGTCGGACCTGACTCATAGCGACCCCTCCATGGGTTTCCGAGGCAGTATCACTACAGAAGTAGATTGCCCCATCTTCCTTCCGAGGAGTGGCTGGTGGGTTTGAACTGCCAGCCTTCTGGTTAGCAGTTAAGTGCCTTAGGCACTATGCTACCAGAGCTCCCAAGTTCTAAATACAGAGCTTAATTATCTATATAGATCATAAGTAAGGTAGGAATCTAATTTCATTTTGCTGATGCTGGCTATTGTTTTGATCCTTGAAAGGTGATACCATTTGTGGTGAAATTGTGAGAGAGAGCTCTTATACTAGTAATACCAATAAAAAAGCACTGATTATTGTCTTGGAATAGAAAATACTTTGTTAGATCAAAAAGAAAGCAAGTTTAAGGAAATGTAAATATAATATCATTGCCTCTTAATGTTCTTAACCAAAACCAAAACCCACTGCCATTGAGTCAATTCCGACTCATAGCGACCCCCATTGGGTTTCCGAGCCAGTAAATCTTTACAGAAGTAGATTGCCCTGACTTCCTTCCTCAGAGTGGCTGGTTGGTTTGAACTGCCAACCTTCTTGTTAGCTGTCAAATACTTTAGGCACTGTGCCACCAGAGCTCCTCTTGCTATATTAATGCCCCCTGCTTCTAGGTGTGTCAAGGCTGCAGAAATGGAAAGAACCAATGAATGCTTTGAATAAAATTATCAGGAACATTTTAATTTTTTTCAGTTTGTGATCTCTCAATGCGTTTCAGTTTTTATTGTATCTTTGGGATTTTAACCAGCTGATCAGGCTGACCCATTGCAGTTCTTTATTCCAGGGGTCTTCTCTGGAGAGGCCAGTCAGGTGGTACATAAAGTAGGTGGTCCTCCAGATCCCCCTGCTTTCTCCTCTCAGGAGCCTCCATTATAACATATCATTTAGAGAAAAAAAGTTCAGCCATCTTAAAAAAAAAAAAAAAAGTTGGGAACCTCTGAACCAGATCATATGGAGTCAGAGGTTTCAAAACACAGAAAGCAAGTCTTTTGGGTTAATAGGTAATTAATTCACCCTGCCTAATCATACTCTCCTACTTGCCAGAGGAACATGCTTTGTGCTAGAGGAATACACATAATAGGTCATGTGTGTTTAACCAGGCACCAAGATAGTCTTATGATGCCTTACACAAAGCGATGCCTTACTATGAAGCCCTTCTGAATTATGGATTTGAGTATGACTACTAAATAGTTATTTTCTTGTATGCAACCACTAACCTTTAGCACCAGAGACGTCTCCTTAAAGAAGTGTATGTCTAAAGAGTTGGCTTCTTAACTTTCTTGCTAACAAAAATGGACAAACAAAACAAAAGATAAAAGACAAACCTTTATTTCACTAATTGTTAGAATGAGCGCTTTGGAAGTGTTCTAAAGATAGGTCTCTTTGTATAGTCTTGGGCTGGGTGAGTAATAAGAGGAAGTGTTGGGTAAACACCTGTCCCCAGGTGTTGTAGGAATGCGTGCTCTCCCTTCTCCACATCTCGTGTCTTGTGATTGTGTACGCGCCTATGACTGCGTGAATCCGTCCACATAGAAAAGTCCAATCAAGGACAAGGATTTTTTTTCCCGTTCTTTTTGCTACCGCCCACTTCCTAGACAATGTAGACAGCTCCCCGGACCTCTCTTACTTTTCCATCTCCTCCCACCTAGCGAAACCCTCCTACTCTTGACGCAGTTGGGGCCTCGGAGGACCCAGCACGCAAGCGCGACCATCCCGAGCATGCTCAGTAGCGTGTGCCGGCTCAGCGGCGCCCCGGAGCTTTTCCATCGACCCGCGGTCGACGCGGAACCTTCAACGGCTGCTCCGGGCGCGACAGGAAGTGAAGCAGCCCCGCCGGGCGACAGCGGCGGGAGCAGAAACAGAGGGAAAAAGGGCGCTGCGGCGGCGGCGACGACGACAGAGGTGGCTGAGAGGGTTGAGTGCCAGGGGGACTCGTCCACTCGGAAGCCGGATTCCGAGCCGGGCAGGATGGATCTTCACCAGCCAAGCACTGGCCGCTACCAGGTGGTGAGTTCCCGGCCTCTTGCGCTATCCGGAACCCGGGGTTGCTTTCCACCGCGGATTCGAGAGTCCCTTTTCTCAGGTTATTCATGGAGGGGACGTGCTGGCTGATTGTTTTGGCTCATTTGGCCGAAGCAGTTGTCTCACACTTCTCTCTTCTGTGGACCCTGCCTGCGACTCCTTAGAGACCCTCAACTCATCCTGTACTTCTCTGTAAGATTACTGACACACACACGCCTTGAAAGTTATTTTTATTTCTCGCCTTCTCGCTAATTTCTTTACTCCCTGACCCCAGTCACTCTTGAAACGTTCCAGTTGATTATCTACTGGAAATGGTGCTGAGTTCACTTACCTGCTGGGAAGGTTATCGGCGTCATAAATGGAATGGAAGGACGGAGGTGTAATCACCAAGTAGGGTGGGGGTGTGGATTCGTAACAGTGTGGGTTAGGAATTGTGGAACTTTAGTTCAGGTATAGTGCTGATCTTGTTCTCTAGTTAACCTTGTCGTTGTGTCTTTTTCCATTATGTTAGTTTCAAAAGTCAGTGTATTCTTTTTTCCACCCCAGCATTTTCTGGCGGGAGGTGTAACAGAAAGTTTTTATAATTAGAAAATAATTTGAGTCTTGTATGAAAAATTACTTTTATGAAAAACAATGTGTTATAGTTTTTGGCAGCGTGGTATGTAATCTTTGTAAGTGTATGTTCAAATTCGTGAAAAGTTGTTCCTTTATACTTCAAATTTCTTGAAATATATTTTTTCCTTTATGTATTAATTCTGGTGATGGCTATTATTGATCCAGACTCTTAGCGACCCTGTAGGACAGAGTAGAACTGCCCCATAGGGTTTACTTTATGGAAGCAGAGTGTCACATCTTTATTCTGGGGGCCAGTGGTGGGTTGGAACTGCCGACCTTTTGGTTAGCAGCCAAGCGCTTCACCACTGTGCCGCCAGGAATCCTTGGTGTCTACTAGAGATTACTATTGTAAACTGTATTTAAAAATGGACTCAGCAATAGGTGATTCAGTTGCACTTAGGTAGCATGTTATTGTATACACTTTCAGAGGGTAATTAAGTTAAACATATTTACTGAAGGAGAGGAGAAAAACATCAATTCGTAGTGTCCATGGTGCAATTTTATATATAGTCAATAAAACAGTAAAGCTGTAGATTTGATAGTTGTCAATTTCACCACTCAAATCTATTTGCTCATGTAAGACTTAGCTGTGAACTAAGAATTTCTGTTAGTACATGCATTTTGATAACTGAAAACCAACCAAACCAAACCCATTGCCATCACGTGGCATCATTCTGACTTACAATAGTCCTATCTGAGAAATTGGAACTGCCCCATAGGATTTCCAAGGGTGGCCCTAAGGCATCTGACTGCTAACCAGAAGGCTGGAGGTTCAAACCCACCAGCCACTCCTCTGAAGCAAGGTTGAGCAATCTACTTCTGCAGTGATACTGCCTCGGGAGCCCAAGGAGGAGTTGCTCTGAGTGGGATCCAACTTGACAGCGGTGGGTTTGGTGGTTTGGTTAATCTTTACAGAAGTAGACTGCCTCATTATTCTCCCATGGAATAGCTGGTTCCACCCGCTGACCTTTTAGTTAGCAGTCGAATGCCTTGACCACTGCACCACCATAGCTCCTTTGACAAATTTAAAGGAACCTGAGAGATGAGATCCCAGTGTATGTAAATTCACATTTTGTAATATAAAATTTCATGCTGCTTCCATATTTACATCCTATAAAACCTCAAAAAGACCCATGTTCCAAATTCTTGAAAATTTATCAGTATTTTTGGAATGGTTTGAAAAATATTGCTGCCAGTATGGAAGGCATTTTTCAGTTTGTCAGTATTATATCATTTTTGATGGTTTAATTTTTTTTTCTTTTAAAAGGGTACTCTTATTTTTGTAGGTGTTAGCAAAAAATAAGATGCAATAGATAGTATCAGATGACATTAGCAGTGGGATTTGTTTCCTTTTTCTATTCTCATATCTTTCTTGATCCTATTTGTTTCTTTTAATGGCATTAAACCAAAACTCACTGCTGATGATTCAGACTAATAGTGAACCTGTACATCTTTCTGCTGTGGAGATGCCGTTGGGTTTGAACAGCCCACCGTTTTGGTTAGCAACCAAGTGTTTTAACCATTTGAATTCTTGCACAACCTTTGAATTCTCTTTTGAGTACTTTTCCTTATGTCAGTCAGCCATGTCCTCATATTCAAATAACTATTCAAAACATTTTGAAATAATGTAGCTTGTGCTTTAATTTATTATAATGTTACATTTGCTTATATCAGTTATGACTGTCTAAAACTTGACTTAATTATTATTATTTTTTAAAATTCCTGAGTCCAGAATATTGAAATTTCTTCTCTCCATTTTAAGATATTTCCTACTTGATTTTTCTATATCTCCTTTGGAGATAAGTGGTGGACAGTATAAAATTTTTTTGCCCCTCTTTTCAAACTGGAGATGTGTGCTACTTAGACTTTAAATGGATGGAGGCATTTCTTCACAGCTGTGGCAAAAATCAGTCCTGTGAAGATACTTACATTAAGTAGTGAAAACATCAATTTGTTTTCCTTGTAAGACAAAATGTTTAGGAATCTTGGCACAATTTTATTTTGGATTTTAATTCATGTTACTATGTAATTACATTGTAATTCCATTTGTCCAGTGTAGCTTTGTGTTTTCTTGAGAAAGTCCTGCTCTCTCTCTATATTTAGGTACATGCCAGATAAACAGATGAAGTTTTCAGTGGACGTTTAGGTAGGGACCAGTCTGCAGGTCTGGCATATATGGCAAATACCATTATTTTGTAGATGTCTTTAACACCTTTTTTGGAACACTTGGGAATGATTAATTAACTGGACTGGTAAACAACTTTGGTTATCGAATGTTAAGGGATGAATAAGAAAGAAGACAGGCAAGTATACTTAGGCATGAAATAGTATTTGGAGTTACTTTGTCACTTATTTAGGGAATTAAAATTCGAATCGCTATACCTGAAAGTTGGCAATGATGCACAAGGCAATCAGAATGAGTTACTATCATTATCCGATGCACAAGGTTCACCTGGAACAGCTTTTTCTGTAGACTCTTCTTTCCTTCCATTGTTCAAAGGGTCCAAGTTTTAAAGCAGTAGATAGCAAAGGAGAGCTTCAAAAAGAACTTACCCTTCTAATTTCAGAAAAGGTAAGGTATCATTCATCTTTTTGTTATGTTATGGTGCAAAAAGGGCATGGGGGTGGCATTCTCCTCAGATCTCTTCTAGCTTCACAAAGGGGAGAGAGAATCACCATCAGCAGCCCAAGGGTTATTCCTGTCTTATACTAGATATGCCATCACTCTCCAGCCTTGCCACCAATTCTGATATTAACTTTTCCTCCCACGGCACTCTCTACTTGTCTGGTGGGTTCGATAATTCGTTGTAAAAGCCACACTGAGCTCACAGACAGTGCTTAACGATCATGGGGTTTATTGGAGAAGTAACAGCTTACAATTCAGGTTCAGAAATGCTCAGGATACAATTGTGCAGTCAGGACAGTCTTCCTCAGCCACACCCTCAGGCATGCCTCTCTGGCTCTTGGCCTTTGGCCTGGCTTCTGCCCAGCGTGGGCAAGTGTTACAAAGCTCGGTTAGCTCTGCTGATAGGTGCATTTAGATGTACCCCGCTCTGCCAGCAAGCCTCCTGCCCAAAGGCACTCAGCTCTCTTGCTCTGTGGGCTGGCAAACGTTCTTCTCTGTCTCATGCCTCTTGGTTCTGCTGCTGCCATCTCTTAGTTGGTTGTATCACCTAGTCATCTTAGCCAGTCATCTTAGCTGATTGTCAGCCATCTCTCTGCCAAGGAGGTCCTGTGCAGGGATCTCGGGTCCAAGTACATGCTTCACTCCACCTCTGGCTCTTCTATCCTGATGTCAGTGAGAATTCTCGTTTTTGCTTCTAGGACTCCTTTTAAGCCTAGCAAGATGGCAAAACTGACCAATCCCCACATTAGGGTTCTATAAACCTTATTTGCATGGTCCAGCCCCCACAAAGGTGCCGTGTACCTTATTTATATTGTTGGCAAGCTGTCCAGTCCCTATGGTAGGCCACAAACACCTTACTTTGCATAGTTCCACCCAGTAATTGGATGACTAAAAGAGCCATAGCAAGGAATTCATTGCACCACATATGGGAAATTCATTTTTGCTTGGTAGGAAATGAGCAATATTGCCAAACAGAGAAGTAGTTGACTTGGGTTGCAGCTGTTAGGCCACATTCTTTTTTTTTTCCTTTTTTTTTTTTTAATTAGGATTTGGGTGAAGATTTACAGAGTAAATTCACTTTTCATACAGCAGTTCACATATACTTTGTCTCATGTCATTGACCAAAATTTACAATGCAGCAGCTCCCCTCCCACTTCCTCCCCATAGTTACCTCCTCCCAGTGTCCATCCCTTCATACTCTTCTGCACCCTGAGCTATCTCCCTGTGCATAAGCAGCCCTTCCTTCTCCCATGATTGTTCTCTCCAGGGCGTGTGTCTACTTGAGGTAAATGTTTAACTCACATGCCTGTACTCTGTTTGGCTGGAAACCCCAGTTGTGGGTTCAGTTCCAGACCTGAAGGGCAGCTAGGGGCCATAGTCTCAGTGGTTACACCAGGCTCTATTGGACCAGCAAACCTGGTCCCCACCTTCTTTTTTTTTTTTTGCCTCCAAATGATTTTGAGTTTTGTTCTACATTGTTCTCCCTCTTTATGCAGGATCTCCTACATCCCTTCCAAGTGGATGGCAGTGGTAGCTGGGCACCATCTAGTTCTTCTGGTCTCATAGTTGTATAGGTTGCAGATCGGATGGTGTACCAGTCGCTAGGACTGATTGTTTCCATTAATTTTGGTTTTCTTCTTTCTTCTTGACGAGGAGAGACCCGTTGTTGCATCTAGATGGCAGCTTCCTAGCTTTTAAGGTCCCAGTCGCTACTCGCCAAAGTAGTAGGTGGAACAATGTTTTG